AATTGGTATACCATCTACTCCTGAGGCCTTATTTTTTGCTATTTCCTTCAAAGCAGCTTGAACTTCTTCCTTCATCACTATAGGCTCTTGCTCATATGTGATTTCATTAAATTCTTCTGTGTCTGCCAGTTCCTTTTGATACAGTGACTCAGTATATTCTTTCCATCTTCTTTTAATACTTCCTGGATCATTAAATATTCTGCCTACAGCATCCTTGATTATAGCAACTCGAGGTTCAAATTTGTTTTTCAGTTCATTGAGCTTAAGAAATGCTGAGTGAGTTCAGCCCTTTTGATTTTCCGACTCCAGCTCCTTGCACATTTCATTGTAATATTTTACTTTGTCGTCCCATGCTGCCCTTTGGAATCTTCTGTTCAGCTCTTTAGTATCTTGAATTCTTACTTGTGCTTTGGCTTTTCTGCGCTCCAGTGCAATCTTCAGAGTTTCTTCTGACATCCATTTTGGTCTTTTCTTCCTCTTCTGTCTTTGTAATGACTGCTCTCTTCCTGGATGATACATTTGACATCCTCCCACAACTCACCAGGTCTTCGCTCATTGATTTCCTAGTATTCTGCCACTTACTCTAGGGGGTTTTTTGGTGTGTGTGTGTGTACCGTCAAATTGGATCTGACTGGTACAGGAGGAGATTGCCCCTCTCCAGCAGAGCATCTGGTGGATTCGAACTGCACACCTCTGCGATTGCACTTAGTCTAGTTTTAAAAACTGCTGTTGTAGTATAAGCCTGCTCTCAGCCCGCACAGCTCTCAGCAGGACACACATTGAAGTGAACTGATAAGCAGTGGCTAAGGATAATAGGTAAGAGTTTAGTCAGAAAAACTCATAGGATCTTTACTACAGACCTTTGAGGGAGGTACTGCTTTTGTCACCATTCTGCAAGTACAAGAAATGCATCATAAAGAGGTTCGTTTAAGGGGAGCTCTGGTGGCCTAGTGGCAAGGAGCTGCAACTACAATCCCAGAGGCGCATGGTTTGAATCCACCAGATGCTTTGCCGGGGAAGGAGGGACAATCTCCTCCTGTCCTGTACCTGTCAGATCTGATTTGATGGTACACTCACACAAAAATAATTTAAATAAATAAATAAAAAGAGGTTCATTTATCTGATGTTCCATAACACGTTAAGTTTCAAACTGCCAGGCTGAAGCCAGAGTCTAAGCTCTTTAACTACCCTTTAAATAATCCCTAAATCAGATTTTTTTAAATTGTCTCATTATCTCAGAGAAAGTTTTTCCTGGAAAAAGATAGAAGAAAACTTTGGTGGATTTATTTTAATTAGGTTCTTTGCCATGGAATTTTTTTTATTCTAAAAGATGCATTTTAAATTACAGTGTTTTATCATACTTTAATATTAATGTGAATTTCTTAATACAGTGTTGAGATTTTCCCAGTTGTCTTCTAGTTTTTTAGGACTTTTAGGACATTTCTTTAAATCAGGACCCAGATACGTCTGTGGAGTCTCTTACTTAATCTCCAAGTTCCCCTCCATTTTTACCTTCTTCGGTAATTTGTTTATGGGGAATCTAAGTCATTTGCCTTTTAAAGTTTGCCGATCTAGAAATTGCTGATTATTTCCTCAAAGAGTTACCATGTTCTGTTTCTGGTATTTCCTGTGACTTAGATCTAACAGCTCAAATCACATTTGCGATCCCCCCCCCCCCAGTTCTAGATGTTATTCTTTATTTCCATTACAAGGAGTAACTGACTCTCTCTTTGTGCCCTTAGCCATCATCTATGATCATTATCTAAGTTTAAATTTAGTAAAAGTTGAAAAATGCCTGTATCTTGATGATTATCTGTCTTCATATATTAATTTTGTTTCTTCTTTAAAGATAACCTTTTCCAGTAATTATGTGTTTAGTTACCAGGACATCTAGTTTGAATAGAAATAGAAGGCTAAATACTTGATCCTTTCTATTTCTTTACAATTTTTTGAAATTAGTTGGTTCCCTAGCATTCTCCAAAAAGTAATAGACTTCTTTTTATGTGTCATTATGAATGGATAAACTTAAAAATATTTGCTTAAATGATGTCATTTCTGGTCACTTGGGAGCTTTTCAAGTTAGTTCCTAAGTCCTTTTGTCATGACTCCGTAGTCTTTGATAGCTTCTTTGTTTTCAGTATATGAAAGATATTCCTTGCTGATAATGTGTATTTCTTGTCTCAGACCTGTCACTGACCACCTTCTCTATCCACAATGTGGATATTGTAATTGGCTTTTAAACAGTTTCTTCCTTCTGTTGAGAACTCAGATTGATAATTTCTTTTCTCCCAGGAGTCCATGAAGAATATCAGCTGCCATATTATGACCTAGTGCCCTCTGACCCTTCCATTGAGGAAATGCGAAAGGTTGTGTGTGACCAGAAGCTGCGTCCCAACATCCCCAACTGGTGGCAAAGTTATGAGGTAGGAAGTTTCCCCACCTCTTGCAACTTATTTTCATCTGCCTGATTTCTCCTCCTTAGAAAAGGGCCTTCTAAAGAAAAAAGAAAAGGGCCTTCTAACAGTGGAGGCTAATACGCCAGGGATACCTCTTGAGTGCATCAGCATGGTGGTAATGTTTTGTGCCATCAAGTTGGAATCATCTCGTAACTAGACCATCCAGTGCGTTTTCAGGAGCTGAAAATTGCACAAGAGGAGATTGCCCATCTTCCTTCCATCGAGCAACTGGTGGATTTGAACCTCTTGCTTTTGGGTTAGCAGAGAAACTCCTTATTATTAGAGCACCAGAGCTCCCTGTGGGTCGCCATAGGCTTGTCCTGTTCTGTTTTGAGTCCTTTGGGACCACAGTTCCTTGTTTCGGCCACTGTATCATACCTTTTGGAGCTGATATCCAAGTAGAAGACAAAAGTGGTGTCCCTGGGACACAGTTAAGGAAGATGGTTACCAACGGACAGAAACAAAAAGCTGTTAGGTCTTTCTAACTCCAGAAATAGCCACAGGGTGAGCTGAGCGCTGTGGAACAGTTAAGAAGAAACATACATAACAGCAGCTCCAGGACTTAGAAAAATGAAGAGACAGGATTTAGCCAGGGGATGAGTCTGTTAAGAAAGTGACCTTTCTAAAATCTCAGCATGGAGGAATGATTGGGACATGTGAAGGATGGGGATTAGGAGGAAGAGGGTGATTTGATTTGTAAGAAAGTGTAGATGAAGTAAGGTTGGGACAATTGAAATGGCAAATTTATGACAGGTTACTAACACATACGGAGCTCTGGGTTTTAAGAGGCTTTTGGAGAACAATTTGTCTGGCTAACTATACATGGATTTCCTTTTTACTCTTTTTCTAAATAATAAAAAAACTAGAGGGCATTTTTAATTTGAGAACAAAGCTACTCCATTAACATAGTTCATGCGGCCTTATTGTATGTTAAACCTATTGTCAAGTCAATTCTGACTGACAACAGTCTTAAAGAACAAAATAGCCCATGGACTTTTCAAGAGTATGATCTTTGTGAAAGCAGGGTGCAGCATTCTCTGGAGCAGCTGGTAGTTTCAAACCTCTGACGTTTTGGATAGCAGTTCACTGCTGTATCATGAGGGCTCCATCCACTGTGTAATAGGACAACATTTTTCAAAATGTTTTTGGGAACCCTTGAGCTCAATGCTTAACTCAGATGATAAGTATGAGGCTGAGAGGTCCAGTCTTAAGCTACCCCTCATCTTCAATCAGTACTGTCCACAGTTTTGCTTCAGAAAACGGATTGCACAGCCAAAAATTAATTTTTACCTTAACAATCAGGAACCATGGCCATCAATAACCAGTGGTGGTGGTGGTGGTGTGTACCCTCGAACCAGGACCAACTAATAGCTAACCCTCCAGCAAGTTTTCAGAGGCTTTCAATCCCTTGGAGCAGCTAGTGGATTTGAGCCGCATGCCTTTGGGTTGGCAGCGTGACCTCTTACCCACTAAGCCACCAGAGCTCCATAAGTGACTTCTGATTCACCTCTACTATTTTTTTTTTAAATCACCTCTACTATTAACCACACTGGTTTTCTTTGTTGTCAAGAAATAGCAGTGTAACTTCCTACCTCTGACAGAATTGTTTTTAAAGGGTTACTTCCCCCTTCCTTCATCACTTCCATTTGTGCATGTGAGCCATCTATTTCTTTTATAAAGATAATTGATAAATAATTACAAAATGAATTCTTCAGTCAATCACTTTCCAATCATGTGCATTTTGGGGGACTTTCTTTCAAGATATACTGGGCGGGAGGATGGTGGACTGCACTTGGTCCGAGATGGATGTCCAACTCTCTAGGCTGCAGCTTTTTTCCTCTCACCTGTACAGCCTGTCTCTTAGGGAGGGAGGCACCAAGGTGAGTGGAGAGCTTACAGAAGTTTTTTGTTAAGGTCAGGGAAGAAGGGAGGGGAGAATCTCATCTGAGGAGGAGGAGGGGGCAGGGAAGCGGGCTCTGTCCATTTCCTGGGCCCATCAGTTGATGTGTTCTGGTGTCTTCCAGGCGTTACGGGTGATGGGGAAGATGATGAGAGAGTGTTGGTACGCTAACGGTGCAGCCCGCCTCACCGCTCTGCGCATTAAGAAGACCCTCTCACAGCTCAGCGTGCAGGAAGACGTGAAGATCTAATCCTGTTCCCTGTGCCCTACACGCAATCCTGGGCAGCGAGGACTACACAGAGAGCTGCCGTATTGAGCGTACGATGGAGGCCTACCTCTCGTTTCTGCCCAGCCCTCCATGGCCAGGACCGCTGGCCCCAAAGAGGGACAGAGCCCGGGAGACTTACTCACTCCCATGTTGGGTTTGAGACACAGATACCTTTTATATTTACCTCCTGATGGCATGGAGACTCTGAGAGAGAATTGTGTGGAGAACTCAATGCCACAACTCAAACTGGTTGTCGTGGGAAGTCCCGCAATCCCTGGTGCACCTGGCATACAGGCGGGAGCCCGTGGAGGGGTAGCCTGGGAGGGGCTGGAAGGAGCCAAGCTGCTGCCAGTGCTGACCTGCACTGAGGGTTTTCTGTCAGGGACCAACCCACAGCACACTGAAGCGGCCGTGGGGCCGGAAGTGTAGTCCTTCTCACCGGCAGCTCTGAGCCAAGAGTCCCCTCTCCCTCAAGCAGAAATCTGGAGGGATTGCCAGTGGAGACCGAATCTGCCACCTGTCTGTCCAGCCGTGTATGCATGTGCCGAGGTGTGTCCCCTGTTGTTCCTGGTCCGTGCCACACCCTTACGTGTGTGTATGTGTGTGTATGTTTGTGTCTATAAGTGCGCACTTACCTGCTTGAGCTTCTGTGCATGTGCAGGTCTGGGGTGTGGTTGTCCCGCCGTCACTGCGTGCTGGTGCCTCCGTGTTCAGTAGTGAGCCTCATCTAGTTCTCTGGGGCCCTTCCCTGGAGACCCCGTCCCCCTCCTCTAGAGCCCTGTGCCACAGTGGCGCACCCTTCCCATAGGCTGCTCCACCACCCCAGTGTCAATACAGCTCTCCTTATTTCAGACTGGAACCAAAGGTGGCCCATCTGTCCCCTGCCGAAGGCCTTTGGGTCAAAATGTGAGGGTGGGGGTCGGATGGGCAAGGAAAGAATCTGGACGGAAGTCTTGGGTGTTGTGGTCAGTGACATCATGGGAAATGAGCCAGCCCAAGGGCATTATCCTCATTGGCATCAAGGAATGGCCCAGGAATTTGAAGCTCAGATCATGGGACTTGGATTGGAATATCACATCTGTCTTTCATATCCCAGATTCTGGAACAGCAGTGTATATTTCTGGTGGTGGTGGGTTTGGGATGGGGAGGGACACGGGGGTGCAGCGTGGGGAGGGAGTTGGGTGGGAGGGAGGCATCTGCATGGGTCTTATTTTACTGGATTATCTGATCAGGGTGGAGGGAAGATGTGAGATTTGCATCCACTTCAGGGGCCCTGCTAAGGAGGGAGCAGCCTGAGCTGAACATGTTATTTAACCGAGTGTAGTATTTAGTGATGTCTAGAAGCACGGCTGTGGGGGGGTGATTTGATCAGCGTGTCTTAGGTATATAATAACTTTGAAGCCATAACTTTGAACTGGAGTGGTTTTATTTTATTTTTATTTTACTGGGAGGGCCTGGATTTTAAATTTTTTTAATATTGTTAAGTTTTGTAAAAGAGAAACCATCTCTCTGTGATGATTACCTCTCACTTTTATTTGTTTTTAAGGAAAATCCTACAAAAACAACCATTAAAAAAAAACAAACACAAAAAAGGCAAAAACAAAACCACCCTCCAATCGAACGCACACAGCTCAATCACACTGGAAATGTTTGTCCCTGTACCTGAGCCTGTCCCTGCCCTGCAGTGAGATTTCCTCTTTGCCCTCAGGGGTTAGTCTCTCTCGCATTCTGTCCCCCGTCCTGTGAGTGGTTTTTTGGTCTAGGGCCCTAGTGTTTTGTGCATTGTCCAGCTAGTTGTGCCTTTTCCTTCAGGCATTTTCTCAACAAATGATTATTGAGTGCCTGTTGGGTGCCAGGCACTGTACTAGGCACTGGGAATATGTCTTTGAACAAGACAGGCCTGGTCCTACTCCTGAGGAGCACTGGACAGGAGATGATTCAAGGACAGAGGTGCCTATTGTAAGACCAGAGGTTTCATCATTGGTTCTGAGAGCCATTTGAGCCTGTAATTACGGAATGAGGAGTAAGGCTGTGCCCCTCACCACCAAGGGACTGCTGGTGGAACAGTGGGTCCTGGGGTTCAGAGCCCCAGTAAGACACCAAATCATTGCATTCATTCTGAGCCCCCTCGCTGCCTCCAGGGAGACACATTATGTCTGCAGCCTCAGACCATCCCTGCCTCTGCAGCCCAGCGAGTCTGCCAAAGCCTGTGGAGGAGGTTCCAGCCCTCTCCCTCCGTCCTCCGTCTCCCCAATGCTCCCAACCATTCTATTTATTTCCCTGATGTGTTGCTTTCCTTGTATTAAAGGAGATCCTCCCCAAGCCCTTTAGGCCGATTTACTGGCCACTAATTTTCCTTGAATACTAATGTCATTAGGGGTTCTTTTCCCACCCTTGCCAGGCCCCACTTACCTGGCCTATGGCAGAATCTGGGTGGGTGACAGGTGATGATGAACGCCACTCTAATGCCAGTCACAACTAGCCTCTGGGATCTGCCAACCTGTCGACCCAGCGACTCCCAAGCCACTAGCCTGCTCCCCAGGTGGCCCTTCTGTGCTCACTACACCTTCAGTCCAGCTCCTCCACCTCTGGGGAAGACTGAGCAGTTTTTTGGGAAGTCACCTTGCCCCCCGACACACATACACTCTTAACACCAAGCAAGAGTTGGGGAGATATTAAAGCCGTGATCTTTGGCCCTTGAGGCTAACTGGTCCATAGGGCTACCTGCACCTGTGGATTCTGGATTCACAGACCAAGTTCAAGCCCGTTCCTCTGTCGCCATCGAGGCCCCCGAACGGCATTCTCGGTACTTCTGTTTGTTTTTGTACATTTTATTAGAAAGGACTGTAAAATAGCCACTTAGACACTTTACCTCTTCAGTATGCAAATGTAAATAAATTGTAATATAGGAAATCTTTTGTTTTAATATAAGAATGAGCCTGTCCAATTTCTGCTGTACATTATTAAAAGTTTTATTCACAGAGCTTTTCTGGTGCCATCTGTCTCACATATGTTGAGTGACCACCCAGCTTTTGTCAGGGGGCTGGGAATGTGCAGATGCTTGAAGGTCGTATTTCTCCCCTCCAACTTGTCAACAGTACACTGGATTCATTCAGAAGAGGTACTGGTCTCAAGATGTGGGATCTGGCATATAAGAAAGGGTGGGAGGCAGGCAACATTGTTAGGAGCTTTGCATTTGTTCTTGTCTTAAGAGCATTTTTCACAACAAAAAAGGGTCTTCATCCCAGTTAGTCACAACAGAACCAAGTCTTGAAGTCCACTTAAGAGTTCTCCCTACTTTTTGCTGCCCTCTCTGAATTATAGTTAAAATGTGAATTTGAGGATACCTAAGTATTGCTAAGGGAGTACAATGTGTGTTTGGAGATACCTAAGTATGGTTTAGGGAGCTCTTGTGGCCAGTTGTGGTATTGTAGAAGAGTCCTGAATATTCCATGGACTGCCAAAAAAAATATTTCTTGGAGAAAGTACAGCTAGAGTTCTCCTTGGAGACAAAGATGACAAAGCTTTATCTCACATACTTTGGGCGTGTTGTTAGGAGAAGCTATTCCTTGAAGAGGGATATCATGCTTGGAAAGAAATACCCTCAACCAAGAAGGACTGATATAGTGAATGCTACAGTAGGCTTAAGGATGTCAGAAGTGAGGAGGATGGCTCAGGATAGGACAGCATTCAGGTCTGTTATCCATGGGTCACTCTTTGTCATACTCAACAGCATCAAATCAGGAATGGCCTGATGGGTAAGGAATTGAGCTGCCAGCCCAAAGGCATGGAATTAGAATCCTGGAAGGAGGAGCGGCATCCACTTCTGTAATAGCTTGCCTCCGGAAACCCTATGAACCTGGAGAGGGGATGAAAGACACCCAAGTGTTGAGGACTCTCCTTCATAGGGTTGCTATGAGTCGCCTGTGACTCGACGGCACTTAACAACAGCAGTTGTTCAACAAGAGAAAGATGTGCCGACTCCTTCTGTGTGATTTACAGCCTTGGAAAACCCACTGGGGGTGTCAGCTGTGAGTCTTAGAGTTTGGAAGTATGGTTAAGCACTCAAATTACCACAAGATCGGCAGTTTTAACCTACCTTGTAGCTCCATGGGAAAAAGACCTAGCCAGCGATGCTCATCAAGATTACAACTAGAAAGACCTATGGGGCAGTCTGACTCAGCCATGTGGAGTCTCTCTGAGCCAGAATCAGCTCCAAGACCCCGGCCGCAACAGGTAACGGAGCTGGATGGAAATCTTCAGTCATTACTCTCGTGTATGCCAATGTACAAACGGTAGGTATACTTTTTTTTAAAATTATTATTTAGGCTGAAAGAACCCAACTTAGCAAGACCTGGAATCATAAGATCTCAAGCTGAGATGAGACCTGAAGGATCACCTATTCCATGAGTCACTCAGTCCCCCTCCCACATCCCTGCCACGTGGTCACATGGCTTAGTGCTTTAACACTGTCTCACTGTCTGAAAACCACTGCTCAGTGAAAAGAACTGGATTACATATTAATCTTCACATGCCTTCCATCCATAGGTTCAGAGCAGCTCTTTTCACTCCTGTTTAAAATATGTGGAAGTTGGCCATCATGTTCATTTTGAGTCTTTATGGCAAAGCTTGACGTTTCTTCAGTTATAATGTTATGTGCCATCGAGTCACCTGCGACTCAGCGACACTATATACAACAGCCCTAAACCCTGTTCTATCCCTTGCCAATCTTAATATCTCTTAACACACCTATCCTCATTACCCTAGTGACTGAATCAATCCATTTCATCTAGAGTCTTCTCCAGCGCTATCCCTCTCCAATGACTGATCCCACCTTGTAACATATCCAAAGTATGTCAGACAAAGCTTCAGAATCCTTACCTCCAAGCAGCAGCCTGGCTTCTGTCTCTCCAGGACGAACCTGTTTGTTCTCCTAGAAGTCCGTGGTATATTCAGTACTCTTCTCCAGCACCACAGCTCAAAGGCATCAACTCTCCTGTCATCCTTAGTCATTGTCCAGCTCTCTGATGCATAGCAAGTAATTTCAAAGACCATGGCCTGTATCAAGCGCACCTTAGTCTCCAGACTGACATTGTTGCTCTTAAGTACTTTGAGAGGTCTCTGACAGCAGACCTTACCAGTGCAATTTGTCTTTTAATTTCCTGGCTGCAGGTACTAAAAGTTATATTAGCAAATATTAATTGCGTGCTAAGCAATGTGTGAAATTTGGTTGGTTGTGTATTTGCTGATTTAATCCTCAGAGCAATTTAGGAGATGGACATTATCCTCTCTTTATGAATTAAGAAATTGGAGAAAAGAGGAAAAATAAATTGCTCAAAATCACATAGTTTACATGGGTGGGAAAAATTATTTTGTTGCAAAACATCTGATCACATACTTAAGTCCTTCAGCTACTACATCATCCTACTCCCATGGTTCCATGTTCTGCACTGTTGCCAGCTCTTTCAATGAGAATCTAGCTAGGACCTGAAACAATACAGACTATTCCATCCATGTATTAACTGACAAGACAGTCCCCAAGACTTTGCTTGTAATACCTGTAGGTCACATTCCTGACTCCATTTCATGTGCTGTGTAGAGTCAGGTTATTGGACTACATGCCAAACTTGAAGCAAGCCCCTGCGCATTGGATGTAGGTTAATAGGAGTTGATGCTAACTCCTAACTACCCAGTAGATGGGTATCTTCAATCATTAGTGTACGTCACTGCCCTGTGGGATTTCCAACTCAGAAGACAGACAAGCCGTCCTGTGAAAAAGCCTCTGAAGACCTGCTGGAGGGTCGGCTATGAGTCAGATTTGACTGCACAGCAATCAGTGACATTTTAAAAAAAGGAATCTCCTAGGCTCTAATTTTTTCAGTAGCAGATTACCACATCTTCTCTTGTGGAGTGGCTGGTAGATTCAAGTCACAAATCATTTGATGAAAAGCTGAGTACTTAACCACTTTGCCACCAGGTCCACTTAAGCCAACATCCAGAGGTAAGTGACTTGATTCTACCCCTTCCTGAATGTGATTGTTGGTGTATTTAATTCAAATGCAAGATCTTATATTATCCCCTTGTATTTCATCTTAGAACCTGCCTGTTGTTCTGCCCTGCAAGTGTTTATTAGTACTGATTCCTAAGTTTTCTATTGATCTTAATGCAAGACTGTCAGGTCAGAGAGAATCCAATCACTTCCTCCCAGATGTTGGCTTTGATTTTGGCAGAAAGCCCACTAACCCAATGAGCTGCTAATAAAATTGTCCTTGTGTCCTAACGATCATTCTGTCTGTAATGGTGACATCTGAAAGCCCCGTTTTACTGAAGAGAGAAGATATGGTGACTGCTGTATCTCTTTAATCACCCCTGGAAGGAGAAGCAAAAGGTTTGTGATAAATCTCAACCTAGTTTAAGTACAGCTGTGACGGTTGTTTTCAGTTAGAAGTTTTACAGCCAGTCATTGTGGACCTAAAATTAAAATTCTCTGAAGCTAAGGAAAATTAAACTAAGTCCATGGGAACCAAAATGTGACTTTGAGTCTATCACACCTGAA